GGCTCCCTGCTCCGTGGGAAGCCTGCTTCTCCCTCTCCCACTCCCCCTGCTTGTGTTCCCTCTCTCACTGTGTCTCTCTCTGTCAAAAAGATAAATAAAATCTTTAAAAAATAAAAATTAAAAAAAAAGAAAGGCCATGAGATTCCCCAGGGGGACACCACCATCATCCCAGCCGTGTCCAGAGACGCGCATTTCATCTGCCATCTCCTTGGAACCCTGCACCAAATCCAGTCAACAGCTTAGAACACTGGGAGTCAGAGAAGGCCTAGGACTTCAAAGTCCACACCAGAGCCAAGACCCACACCTACTGATTCCTCTTCCGGCACCCTTTCCCCCCACACTGGACTTCAGGCTGGGGGTTCTCTGCTCTGAACAGGTCCCAGGCTGTTGGTCCAGGAGTTAGCAGTCCCTAGAAGTGGCTGAGCCCAGGGTGATGTGGAGGGGACTGGCTTTTTAATGTATTTATTGTATTCTTAAAACAAATTTCTTTTAACATTAAATATTTGAATTCAAAATGTTGTTTTTTTTTTTTTAAATAGTGAAAACAGGTGCAAATGTAATACATGAGATGCCCAAAGGAGGAAAAGTGGAAAGTCTATCATCTCAATCCTATCCTTGTTCCCCCAGCCACCCTGCCCCCTAGAGGCAACCATCACTGTGATTTCTGGCATCTTCTTCCAGAAATATTCTATATCTGTACAAGTATATATATATGTACATATACACATACAAATATATATACACATACATATATACACATACACACATATATAATTATATAAGTATATATAATTGTATATAATTAAGTATACATAAGTATATAAAATATTATATATATCTACTTTTTTTTTTTTTTACAAATGGCAGCCGGCCAGACATTCTATCAGACCCCTTGCTGTTTTCACTTAACCAAACAGGTTATCTTAGTGGCTTTTCCACATCGGCACATAGAGAATACCCTCCTCATCCCTGCTAATAGCTTCATAATTTTCCAATGTGTGAATGCCCCAATTTTTATAACTTGAAAAAGCATCACTTTAAAAAAAATACCAGTTTCCTTCCACTCTGTCTTCCTGGGATTCTCTGAGATATTAGTCATTCATTTATTTTATTTGTTCATTCAGCAAATCTTGAACAGTATTTCTAGCCACCCAGGACTTACAGTCTAGCAAGGAGATGAGACATTAAACAATCATTACAATCCTGATGGGTGTAAGAATGTGAAACGGGACTGGAACTTTTTGGGAGGTGGCGGGAGAGAAAGGGTTCCTTGAGCAAAGGATGCTTAGTCAGATACCCATCTGTGGGCAGAAGCCAGCTACTGAAGATGACACAGGGATACCAGGAGAGGGGTCCAAACACGTCCACCCTGTTCTCAGCAGTGCCCATGAGGCTTAACGTGGTACCTGGCACTGAGCAGCAGTCAGTACGTAAGTGAATGGACACATGGCAAAAGCACAGGAATTTTCAGGCTGTTGAGTAGCACATATTTGTCTTGGGGGAGGGGGTAGACTGACAATCTCTTTCCCTAAAGAAATCTGTGGGTGGGCTAGAAGCCCATCTCTCCAGGCTGGTTTGGGAACAAAGGTCCTGGGGGGAGGGACTGCGATAAAGAGAAAGGTTCCCCTCCACCACTCCCAGGGTCTGGCTTCTGGGGCATTGCGGTGACAGCCATTGGCCCTGCCTCTTTAAGGGAACACATCTCAGCTCCTACAGCTGGTCTGCCACTTTTCCTCAGCTTGAGAACCCCAGGTGCCAGTCCCCACACTCTGCCTCCAGGGGCTTGCTGAATACAGTCTGTGTGTCCATCAGACACCTAAAGCAAAGAGACAATAGCATGGAAAGCTCCAGCCACCCACCCCCTGCAGGTGCCCAGCAGGGAGCCCAAGTCCTTGTGGGGGGGTGGGTATTGTATCTGCTAAAACCACAACCTTTAGCAGCAGGCAGACCTGGGTTAGAATCCCAGCTGGATGACCTTTGGCAAATTAAACCTCTGCATCTCAATTTCTTTATTGGAAAATGGAGATGACAAGCCCCACCTTGAAGGAAGAGGAATACTCTCAGGGCCGAGTGTAGGTTATGGCTAGGCATACAGGGGATGGTCCATGCCTGGCAGTCTGCTGACCCTGCTTCCCAAGAGGACCTGTGCAACTGCCTTTGTTTTCTCATCTATAAAATGGGTAGACTAATTCCTGCCTTTCCGCAGGACCCAGACACCCAGATACTGGCTAGTGGGGTCAGGCTGGCGAATGGTCCGGCCCTTCCAGAACACACTGAATTGACTGGCATTCGCTGGAAAGGGCACAGGGGAGGGCATGGGAACTCACCATATACTCCATGTTGGCCGCAGGTGGGTGCACACTGGCCCGGATGTGGTTGTGAAAATCCAGTAAGGCACTCATGTCGCCAGCAGAGATGTGGCGCTTCCGCTGGTACCGGGGCACCCCCAGGCCACTCAGGGGCCACACAGCTGTGCCCTTGGTCCGGGCCAGTGCCAGGGTGGCATTGGGCATCCAGGCATTCACTGTCTGGCCTGCCCAGAAGAGCAGGCCCGCCAGGCCCATGGTGCTGGGCAGCAGGGGCATAGCTGGCTGGCAGGGTCACACGTCACCTTGTGCAGTCAGAGCCGGCTGCCTGGAGGGAGTGGGCATGAGGGCACCAAACCCTGAGTGTTCTCCAGCATTGCCACCCCAAGGATGCTAACCCCTGGGAACTTCGCAAAGATCTCCTGACTCAGCTCTAGTCCTGGTAGTCTAGTCCTAGTCAGCCCAACACCCTGTCGTTCCCGGCCCAGTGGATTCAGTGTATTGGGCAATGGAAGGAAATGCCCGGACAGTAGCTAATCCTGATCAGGCCATATGATGCAGATGGTGCTACCACCTCCAAGCCAGGGCTCCATCCCACCAGCCCAGGAGACAGACACCAGTCCTGTCCAGCCTGGACACCCTCTTCACCAATCCTGCTCCAAGTGCGTTCCATCGATTCCCTCAGAGGCGTAGGGCCAACCTTCCCCGGGGCATAGTGCAGGGCCCTCTCATCCCTGAGTTGCTGCGTTTTGGGGGTTGAGAGTGAGACACAGGAAGAGCCAGATGGCAGAGGATGAAAGAGGAAGAGAAAAAGAGAAGCATAGAGGAAGAAAATGAGAGAGACGGAAAAGTCGTCTGAAAAAAAAGGTACAGAGAACAGGGATGAAGGAAATTGAAAGGTGGAAAGATAAGGAGAGAATGGGAGACAGTGAAGGGGAAAAAGAAAGAACATGGGAGAGACAGAAGCAGAGGGAGAGAGAGAGAAAGACAGGGGAAGGAAGAACAGAGAAGACGGAGAAACAGCGTGAAAGAGAAGAGAGCCAGAGACAGGAGTGCAGGAGACCAGACAACAGCTTCCCAGGGGCTCGTACCCAGGCCGGGCAGCCCAGGCAGGTGGCAGGAGGCGCCGAGGATGCAGGGACCGCTGCAGACACCCTGGCCCGCCTGTCAGCGCAGCGACTTTAATGGTCCCCTGGGAGCTGATGGCATCTGACGTCCGGGCCCCACAGCCCCCTCCCTTCCCAGCCGGGCCAGACTTGGACAGGAGGCTCCGCCTGCCCATCTGTGGGCTTTCCCCTCCCACCCTCTGGCGCCTCTGAGGTTCCTGCTTCCACCTGGGGATTGCAGGGCTGGGGCTTGCCGGGCTGGGGCTGAGCTGCTAGTTGGGGTAGGGATGTGGCAATGGCAGGGACTCCGGGAGGAAATGCCACCCCCCACCTCGGACACCCCAGATGCCGCGGCTTTTCTCTGCCTTCCAGACCCCAGCATGGAGGCTACCTTGATTCCAGAGAGTGTTCTCTGTTTTCCCTGCAAAGCCGTCCAGCCTCAGAGTTTTCAAGTAGCTTGGCGCCATCTAATGAGCACCTACTATGTGCCAGGCCTGGGCTGAGTGCTTCACACGCACACAAGCTCAGCCAACCCTGAGAAGCAGATACGATAGCTCCCCATTTAGCAGATGGAGAAACTGAGTCTGAGAGATGAAGGGACAAGCCCCAAGTCAAGCCAGCTTGTCTGCGATAGAGACAGGATTCAAATACAAGTCTGACCCCCGAGCACTGTTAGCATGTAAAAAGGATGCTGTTTTTGTAACCAAACCAATATCGATGGGAAGGGGGAAAGCCTAGGAGGATAGTCACTACCATGCTATTCAAACATAGCACCAGGTAGCCTAATTAAGTGATGGATCTGGGTTCAAATCTCCATTATTTCACTCACTAACTGGGTGTCCTTGAGCAAGTTGCTCAACCATATTGTGCCTCATCTGCAAAATAGGAGTAATAATGGTACCTACCTTATAGCGCTGTTATGAGGATTAAACAAATTAACACTTGTGGAGCACTTAGAACTGTGCCTGGCACACAGTGTGTGTGCGTGTGTGTGCGTGTGTGTGGGTTTGTACAGATACATGCATGAGCATGCAGATGTCTACACGTGTGTGTGTGCGTGTGTGTTGTCAAAGCCTCTTTGGTCCCTGAGTTGCTGTATTTCTAGGTTAAGAAAGAGTGTAATTTCTCTTCTCTGATTACTTGTATTCTTCACAAGTAACAAGCAATACTTCTGTAATGGAGGAGGTAGACTTAGAAGAAAGGTGTTATATAAAAAACCCAAAGTTGAAGCATTTGTAAGTCTTCAGCCTCCTCTTCCAGTGACCTCTGAGACTCCGCTGGCAGACCTCGGCCTCGGGGTGCTGCTGAGCCAGGTGGCAGTGAAGGGCTGTGGGCTGGGGTTCTCCCCAGACACATGGAATTCCCACCCTAGGCAGCCACCCAGCTTCAGCCTCCTGGCCCAGACAGAGCCTGCTGCCAAAGCACACACCTTCCTGTGAGAGTGGCCGCCTGCTGGACGCTGGGGCAGGGGGGCAGGCAGAGGCAGTGAGTGCTGGGCTGCTGACCCTGACCTGGACAGGCCTTTACCACCACGCCAGAAGGACAAGGGAGCTTGGCTCCAGTCTAGCCCCATCTCTGCCTCCAGAGTGCTGGGTGTCCTGAGGTAAGGCCCTATCTTTCTCTGGGCCTCAGATGTCCCATGAAAGAGACTGGCCTAAGGGCTTATATGCCTATGGCAGGCTGGGACCCGCGGCACCCAGAGGGAACTCTGCAGCCCCAGGGAGGCACACGCAAACAGTCTGGGCACTTCCAAACCCTGGAGCACCAACGATTATGCCCCACTCTGCCCGCATGCTCAACGGAGCTTCCCCCATGGCATGGGTGCTTGCCCAGGTGTGCAGCTTCACATCCATGATTGAATGGTTTTCACCGCTGCCTTTGAGGTAGTAACCCCACCCACTGCACAGATGGGGATACTGAGGCACACGGAGCCTCAGTGACTTGTCCTGGGGCCGGGAGCTTCTTGGGGTGGTCACTGGGGTCTGCAGTGAATATCCTCACACGTTTACAGAATGCACGCACCTCCAGTGTGCACACGCCACACGCACCTGCATGCACGCACTCGCACAAGCACATCCTCCTACAAACCACAGAGACGGCTCCTTCCCCCAGCCCCTTAGATCCCTTCTACGGCGCACCTCCGGGTGCCCACGCAGACATATATAGGAACTCACCCTTTACACATTTAATCCTCTGAAAACATAGAAGCTGGACATATTTGCTCCTATCTCAGTGCCCAGCACTATTTTAAGCACTTACCTGGATAAGCTCACTGAATCTTCAGAAAAAGCCTACCAGGTTGGTAGTATTATTATCATCCTATCCATTTTTATATACAAGAGGAAACTAAGGCACAAAAAGGTGAGTCATTTGCTGGGGTCACATATCCAGTGGGTGGCACAGACGGGATGGGTACCCAGGCAGGCTGGCCATGCTGCCTCTGTGCAGAGACAGACAGACAGACAGACAGACAGATGCCTCCACACACAAAATCCCCATCTCCTACCGCACAGGTTCACACATCCCCAGAAACCCAGACGATGGCCCTGGGCAAGCACCCAGCAACACCCCCGGCCGCTCCACCAGGTGGGAGCTCCTCTACTGTCCTCATTGGCTAAACCTGCTTCATTTGAGCAGGTTCCCAGGTTCACTTGAGCAGGTCACCAGCAGATCCGAAGGAGAGGGGGGTGGGGCAGGAAATAACCAGGGATGGGCCAGATTCGTGCCCTGAGCCCGGACCTCACTTTAGGGTAGGAACACCTTCTCACTCCTGGATTTTATCACGCTGGATTCAGCTATTGCTCCATCATCACCCCTGCTGGAATTCTCTCTGGGCTTGGGCAAGCAAAGGGGAAATTCTTCTAGAGAGGAGTAGCATTCGAGGCAGTATCGCTCAGTGGCTAGCCAAGCAGTTTTGGATCTAGACAGCCTAGGTTCATGGCAGACCATCCGTGTGGCTGTGGGCAAGTTCCTTAACCTTTCTGTGCCTCAATTTCCTCATCTATAAAATGGGGCTGCCTCATGGCACTGTTGGGAGTATTAAATGAGTTAGTACATCTTAAGACACTGGACGCAGTGCCTGGCACAGAGTAAGCAATCACTATATGGTAGCCTTAACAATAGCTAAGAACAATAGCGACAACAGCCAACGATTATTTAGCACATAGCAGGTGCCAGGCACTAAATGCGTTAAGGGCATGAGCTTATGTAAGCCTTGCTCCAGTTTCATGGGTTAGGTACCAGAATCTCCATGCTATAGATACTCCATTCTATAGATGAGTAAGTGAAAACTCAGAGAGGTTAATAATTTGCCCAAGTTCACAAGGGCTGGTCCCAGTGGAAGCTGGATCCCAGAACCAGGTCTCTCTGATCCTTACCCTGTAAAGTTGCTTTTGAGTAGAAACTGCAGGACAAAGGCCTGATGTTTGAGGGAAGAGACTGAGAAAGCTAGAAGGTTTAGAGAGCTTCTGGGTCACCCTCTCATCTGCCAGTTGAGGAAAGAGTTTCCAAGAAGTTAAGTGACTTGTCTAAGGTCACATAGCAACTGGCAGACTTGGGACTGGAACCCAGAACTGTGTCATTCCAAATCCAAGGAGGGTAGGGAGGGAGCTGGAGGGAGGGGAGCACGCGTGAAAAATAAGAGTGATGGTCCAGACTCTTCAAAACTCTTCAGGTCAAATGCTCCAGATACTTCCAAAAGATAAACTAAGAAAATACAAAGGATGAAGAGGGAAATCAGTAGAGACTTAAAAGATACACATTTTTTTTAATACGGACAAGACTAAACTATACGGTCTAGGGATGTGTACTTGGGCAATAAAACTAAAGAAACACAAAGAAATACTGTAAAAGTCAGGCTGTGATCAGGGTGGGACATTTGAGGGATATATACATATATATAT